GCAAGTGAATTTGTTAATAAAATTTTCACTGCAAATTTAGCAAAACACCAGAAAAATATGCAAACATAAATGTCAAGTACGGCTTTGGGTACGCTGACTCTGAACTTCAAATTTGGCAGGGCACGAGTTCGATACCTGGTACTTGCAGTCTCAAAAAATTATTAACGAATAAATAAATACAAGAATTATTTCTAAGACCATTGATGATGAGTATTTGGTAATACTCAAAACAGCTGTATGGTCAGCCAATAATTCAATTAATTAAAATGATATAAAAATGAATTTTTGTTATTTTAGTTCACTACTGTTCGCAAAACCTCTTTATGCATATATATAATAAAAAAAATTGTTTAATAAAAAAATTGTAAACAACATATTACGCAATTAAAAAATATTAAACTATAATCTGAGTTAATCTAATATCTATTTTTCGCTACTGAAACGTTGCCTACTACAGCGTCTAGTTTATAACTATTAGTCGATTTGGTATCGAATCGTTTATCTGTGCAATTAAAAACACACAAATGTGAGTTAAAATTATTTTTTAATCGGGTTTTCTACTACATATATATATTTTCACGTCAGTGTGTAATATACATGATAATGCATTACAATTAACTTTTATAAATTTGTTGTCATCATTATTTTCATTAATCATCATTATCATTAATTAAAGTGCTATATTAGATTTTGTTACAATATTTTTCCATTTGTATGGATTCTCTTTAATCATAATCCAATCGATTAGACGCAGTAAATTTTATCTATTTGAATACTGTCTAACCTCCCGTTTCTGTCAGGTTATTATGGTATATGTGGGTAAGATAAGTCATCATTTTTCAGAGAATGGTAGGGCTAAGTATATCCTCAGTGCTTATTTCAAGTGGCTAGCTATCACTGTGGTCCAAGTATTTTCATCAAAAAATATATAGAGGATACAGTCTTGACCGTGAAACAAAAGCTAAGTTATTCCCAAGCTGCAAGAGTTTTATATCTAAGCTGAAAATTAATTTGAAATTTATATGAACTTATTTAAGCGTTAAATAATCCATTATATCTAGTACGGTCTGAAATATTTTATAGGGTGTTTGAACTTAAAGCTACTTTCTGTAAAAGCCACAGTATATATGCATATAATTACTAATATAATGACAAATATATGTAATTTGTCATTATATTTGCGAATATAAATACATCAAACAGTTTACTTCTGGAAATCAATTCCCATCACTGTGTTTATGTCTACATCGCTATAAGCTCACTAACTTAAAATTCTTGAAAGGTTTAAATTGGAAATTGAAAACTTTTTTAGGTTGTATATTATAAAAAGAAATATTGATTTTTTTCGGTTATATAAGTAGCTAACTTATTTCCGACAAGTTAAATATATTTTTTAAGTTTTATTGCTTTAGTTATGTTAGTACAAAATGCTAAACAAATGCAAACACCACAGAGCAAATGCAC